ACACTGACGGGAGTGTGTGCGGGGTCATAGTGTGACAGACACTGACGGGAGTGTGTGCGGGGTCATAGTGTGACAGGCACTTACAGGAGTGTGTGCAGGTCTGAGTTGCTTTCTTCATGACGAGGGGCATGGGTCTGACTGTGCCTGACCTGTCACCCCCACCTTCCAGACCCCAGCACACCTGCGTCCCAGGCTGAGTCCTGCCGACCGCCCCCCTACACCCACTCGGACACGGCACATGCACCGGCTGCCGGAGAGGCAGACGACAGCACCACCCTGCTGCACGCCGGTATGAACATCGACACAGGCAGCCTTCACCCTGAGCTGCTGGGGGCGCTGCAGCACGTGGTGATCCCTCACCAGGACCTGCTGGTGCACCTGCATGAGATCATTGGGCGAGGTAAACGAAGGCATGCATACAGTACCGGTAATGAACTTGGCGTCTAGCTTAGAGGTGTTAGCTTCAGCTAATGAGAGGAGAAATCACCAGACATAAGCCTGAAGCAAAGAGGCCACAATATGCTGACCTAATTAACTTTAACTGCAGGCTTGCATAAAGCCAGATCATGTTACCCCTTGTCTTATTGTACTTGTGAACAAAGATGTTTACTTAATCTCCTGCTTTCATACGAATCCGTCTTTTATGGTGAAAACCTGGCAGGAATTACCGCTCCCTGCAGCATTTCTGAGCCACAAAGCTGCCCCCCCACCCTTCCCACCTCACGGATCCATGTCAAAGCGCTTTCCAGGGCTGGGGGTGAGACGCCCCAATGAGCCTTTTGTTGCGCCAGTCAGGGTAACCCAAGCCCGCAGACAGCCTGTGATCACTGCAGGCTTTCTCTCTCAGAGCCTGCATCAGCCCTGAGTTCCCAGCCAAGGCTCAGATTAGCTCGTCGTCCTCGACCTAAGACATTTCTGCTAACCACCAACATTGTATTTTTATCCATCCATCCATCCATCCATCCATCCATCCATCCATCCATCCATCATATGCTGGTCAGGATCGTGGGGGTGAGCTTACAGTCTGTCCCATGGCAGCACAAGGCCGGAGGACAGTGCGGATAGTGTGTTTTTCGGCTTAGCTGATAACTACAAAAAGCATTTTGTTGGATATCTGTAATAAACTCTAGCCGCCTGTCATGTAGACCTTTGTACGTTCACTTTTGCTGGTGCCACCATGTTAGATGACGTAACTACTCTGCGACAAGAAGTAGTGTTGATCCATTGTGTTCCAAAAAATAAAAATCCAAGTCCCATTTTTTTTTTCTATGGTGTGCACGATATAATTAATTTGGATATTATTCATATTCCCTCACACTGCGATAGTCACCGTCATATTCCCTCACACTGCGATAGTCGCCCTCATATTCCCTCACACTGCGAGTCACCGTCATATTCCCTCACACTGCAATAGTCACCCTCAAATTCCCTCACACTGCGATAGTTACCCTCATGTTCCCTCACACTGTGAGTCACCCTAATATTCCCTCACACTGCAATAGTCACCCTCATATTCCCTCACACTGTGAGTCAAGGGCTATAAACATGGCCAGGCAAGACCACGGCTGTGTCTGAATTCAGACAAAATGCGTCACAGCAGCACGACAAGGCTGTCCCATTTTGCAGGCTCCTTCAGATGCAGTCTAGAAATGCGTCCTCCTTTTCCCACTCCACTAAGGATGTACCTGATGGCTCCTTTGCAGCCCAACATATTGTATCCCAAGATCTATTGCGCAGAGGTAAATTGGGTGTGTCCTGGCTATTTGATAGAAGTGGCACATCGTGATTTAAGGGTTAGGGTGGAAGGGTGGGAACAGCTGGTGATGCAAACAGGAAACTATCCATCGCCCCCCCCATTTGACAGCGCTTTCTGTTCAACCTTCGAAGAATGCAGCCTACAAAGGTTACACTTTCATAGACCGCTTCCTTCAAAAGATGCTTCCCTCGAATGCGGACACCGCCAGTGTTGGGCATTTCAGGTCCAGAGGCTACAAATCCAGACCAAGGTTTTGTTTCTACCAAGCAGTTGAGCATAAAGATGCACAGTCACAGAGTACTCAGCTGGTTGGTAGAAACAAAATCTTGGTCTGGATTTGTAGCCTCTGGACCTGAAATGCCCAACACTGGACACCGCCTTAGTGCAGCGCTGCACGTGTGTGTAAAGACGCTTGGTGAAAAGCCTCCACATTAGCTGCATCTGAATTTAGGGCTGCATCCTTCTAAGGCTGCATTCAAAGTCCGAATGCGTCACAGCGACGTGACAAGCGACTGACATAGTGATTGGTTGTATGGGTCACATGATCACTTCTGCTGATAGCAGACAGCTGTTGCGGCTTTTCGTTGCTGTGGGTCATAGAGCAGAGCACAGTAGCTGGTGGTGCTGAGATGAGAGTGTGGCTTCCTGTTTTAGAGCACTGTCGTCTGCTCTGTTAGTTCTCTGCTGCACCGTAGTTCATAAGGGGGTAAGAAAAGACGTGATGGCCTGGGCCCCTGCAGGGTTTGTGAGATGTTTCTCCTGGATCCCTCAGGGCACTTCGGCTGTGTTTTCCATGGGACCCTGCTGAAAGGCGGCCTGAAGCAGCACTGTGCCATCAAGTCCCTGAACCGTGAGTGCCAGCCCAGATCTGAACACTGAGCCCAGCCCCGGACCCTAAACCTAGACCCAAACCCTGAGCCCAGCCTGAACCCTGAACCTAAACCAGAACCCTCAGCCCAGCTCCAAACCCTGAGCCTAGCCCCAAACCCTGAGCCTAGCCCCAACCATGAGCCCAGCCCCTGTCAAGTGCTGGACCCTATGGATCTGCCAGGGTATCCATGCCCCTCCGACACCTCTGCTGACAGGTGGGAGGATTCAGTGATATCACAGGAGGCCAAAGTGATCCTATGAACCTTTTCATCAGGGGAAGGATCAGGGACAATTTGCCTTATAGGAGAAAGCTACAGATGGGTTTGGCCCTGTGAGACTGAGGAGCAGTAATTGTTGGCCAAAATAGAAATGTGCTGTCAGGTTAAACAGGAGCCCTGGTGCTTGCAGACCTAAAGCTCAGACATTAAGGTGGAGGTAATTCAGCAGCTATGGCTTCCTTCGAGCAGAGGTTGAGGGATAGGGGCCAAAGTGGTATTTGCTGCCGTCTTTAAGATGCCAGCCTGAATCAGAGCTTCCTCTTGATGTTGGGAAGGCATTACAGACCTGGAGGAGGTGACCCAGTTCCTCAGGGAGGGCATCATCATGAAGGACTTCAGCCACCCCAACGTGCTGTCGCTGCTGGGCATCTGCCTACCCCCCCAGGGCTCGCCACTGGTGGTTCTGCCCTACATGAAGTATGGCGATCTGCGCAACTTCATCCGCAAAGAGGAACATGTGCGTGACCCACACCCTCACACAGCCGCACTCTCACATAGCCTCACCCTCTATCAGCCACACACTGAGGCACCAACACGCTCACACAGCCACACACTGAGGTACTGACATGCTCACACAGCCACACACTGAGGTACTGACACCCTCACACAGCCGCACTCTCACATAGCCTCACCCTCTATCAGCCACACACTGAGGCACCAACACGCTCACACAGCCACACACTGAGGCACCGACATGCTCACACAGCCTGGGCAGACACACACAGCCACACATTGTCACACTTATACACCCACACTCTAACGCACCTATGCCAGCATACTCGCATACCCGCACACTTACATACCCCTATTCTCGCACATTCACGCACCCATACTCTCAGTCCCAGCCACTCACTCATGCACCTACACCAACACACTCACACACCCACACTCCCCCACACACGTGCACTCTCACACACCTACACACTCACATACCTGAACACACACACCTGCACTCTCACACACCTACACACTCACGTACCTGAACACTCACACACCCCCACACACACACCTGCACTTACACACTAAGACCCATACTTTCTTGTACCTTTTTATGTCCATCTGTCTTGAGACCCCTCACCATTCTCCACCTCTACTCATCTCCACAGAACCCCACAGTGAAGGACCTCATGGGCTTCGGGCTCCAGGTTGCCAGTGGCATGCAGTACCTCGCCAGCAAGAAGTTTGTCCACCGAGACCTGGCAGCCAGGAACTGCATGTGAGCAGAACTCCCAGCATTTCCAGTACTGGGTATCATGTGTGCTTCCTGCCTGTGGGCAGATTAGATGGATGGATGGATGGATGGATGGATAGATATTTTGATTGATTGATTGATTTGCATCTGTAGTGCATTTCATGACGGCTTGGCTCAACTCCAAGTGGCATGAACCTTCTTCCCCTTGTAGGCTGGATGAGAGCTACACAGTGAAGGTGGCCGACTTTGGCCTCGCTCGGGATGTCTACGAGAAGGAGTACTACAGCGTGCACAACAAAAGTGGCGTCAAGCTGCCAGTCAAATGGATGGCACTGGAGAGCCTGCAAACACACAAGTTCACCTCCAAGTCAGATGTGGTGAGGAAATGGCCACCTGAGACCATCTGAGCCTCTAGCTGCCTGCCAGTGTGTGTGTGTGTGTGTTTGTGTGTGAGACCCCTCTGGCTAGACCTAGTGGACTGCAGCACTCCGCACTATGATAGACCATGTGACTTCAGCCCCTTTTCCACACAGTGGTCGTTCGGCGTGTTGCTATGGGAGTTGATGACTCGAGGAGCTCCACCCTACTCTGATATCAGCTCATTCGACATCACCGTGTTCCTGCTACAGGGGCGGCGGCTGCTGCAGCCCGAGTTCTGCCCTGACATGCTGTGAGTACCAGAGGACTACATACATGCATGGTCACACACACGCACACCGTCACACTGTGAGTACTGCAGAAGCACACACATGCATGGTCACACACACGCACACCGTCACACTGTGAGTACCAGAGGACTACATACATGCATGGTCACACACACGCACACCGTCACACTGTGAGTACTGCAGAAGCACACACATGCATGGTGACACACATGCACACCGTCACACTGTCAGTACCGCAGAATTATACGCATGCATACCCACACACTTGTACATCACTATATTGTGAGTACCACAGAACCGCACACATGCACGGTCACACATACACACTTACACAGGCACGCAAACACAGTGAGCTTTTAAAAACGTGACGGGCAGACATATGCCCCTGTACCTTGGCCCCTCCCTCAAGATGGCATCCAATCCCTCACAGCTATAACCTGATGATGGAGTGCTGGCACCCGAAACCAGAGCGGAGGCCCCCCTTCTCTGAGCTGGCGTCCCGCATTGCCACCATCTTCTCCAGCTTCAGTGGCGAGCACTACGTCACGCTGAACACCACGTATGTCAACATCGACAAGGTCACACCCTACCCCTCTCTGATCTCCTCTCAGGGCAACCTGGACAGGCTGTGCTGCACCTGAGAGACACAAGTGGGCCTCTCTCAGCCTGAGTGCGGCATGGTGCGGCCTGCCTATCTGCACCTGAGTGACGCGAGTGGGCCTCTTTCAGCCTGAGTGCGGCATGGTGCGGCCTGCCTATCTGCACCTGAGTGACGCGAGTGGGCCTCTTTCAGC